TTTTTTCCAAGGACAGAAAAGAAGTAAAGACAACTAACCTATATTCAAGTTAGGGCTGCACAATATATAGTTTCAGCATCGATATCGCAATGTGTGCATCTGCAATAGTCACATTGCAGGATATGCATGGTTGGGATTATAGTTTAATTTAGAGTTGAATCATAATAGAGTAAAAGTTTCTCATCTGCATGCATTTTTAAAGAGATAGTTTACCCAAAAATGACTTACCATTTTCATTACACCCTTCACTTGTTTTCAAACATTTATGAGTTTTCTTTTTTTTAAATGAACACAACAAGAATATGATTTAACGACTCCTATAGTATTGAAACAAGTGAAGTGTGAGTATATAGTGAATACATTTTAATCTTTGAGTAAACTGTGCCTTCAAGGCCTGTGACTGTGTGAACATTTCAATATTTCACATTTTAAAACATCCGACCACAAGGATTTTTTTTTGTGACTTTATTAAAGATTAAATAAATACAATAAGGACTATGCAGTGTTGATTATTCAATATCTGAACCTGAATAGTGAATACCTGAAAACTATAATTAATTTTTATCTTCTCTATATTTTATTTCTGCTTATAATTTATTTGTATATATATTATTCGAGATTGACTCTACAAAATCCCCCCAATAAATACAACTAAACCTGTTAAATCATCTGGTGAAACTGTTTTCACATCGCAATATACATTACATAAATACAAAATACGGTAATGTCAGATTTTTCCAATGTCGCGCAGCCCTAATTCGAGTAAACAGATATTTTTTAAACTAATTTCCATGACTTTTCCATAACTTTAAGGGTTTTCCAAAAAGTGAAAATTTCATTACTTTTCGGGGTTTTCTATGACTGTATGAACCCTGTTACAGGTTTTCAGCTTTCTTCTACTTGTGTGTCCAACACAATAAACAAATTCATGAAGCTGTGGAACCACTTGAGTGTGAGTAAACAGCTAATTTTTATTTTTGAGTGAACTATCCCTGAGAGGTCTTAGCTCAAACTGATTTGGAGATGTTTGAGTGATTTCATTTTAGTTCTTACAAAACTTATCATGAACGTTTTTTTTTAATCCAACATGAACATGTGGGCGCCTGTGTGTGATAGTATATGAAGGCACAAATTTCATGAGCTGACCAGATGTTGCATTCACACCTCTTAATGATTAGCTCTGACCTGTTCTCAAGGCTTCCTGAAACTGTTTGAACAGCTTGATAACAGGGTTTATCAGCCCCTTCTGGTCATTCTCAGCAAAAACGAAAATACAAAAGTATTTCATTAAATACGTCGTCTGACAAAAAAAAAAGAAAAAAACATAAATCTACACATATAAATCAACCACCCATTTATTGCACGAAAAAACGGAAAAAGGATACAGAGATTATGAGAATTCTACTATCAGGCACTATCTAAATGATCTCAACTAAATAGTTATGTGCATTATGGCTTTAAGTGTAAAAGTTAAGCTAACTGGGAAAATAAATGGTCTCTGTCATGTATAATTGATGCAGTGTCTGAAACACACTGTATATGCATTATAAGTCTTTGATTATATGATAAAGTTTGTTACAAAAGACCATTCTGAGTGGGTGAATATAATATGAATGCAGTTTGCCATGTACTGGCTGGCTTTGCATTGCAACATTAGAATTCAGGTTCCTGCTTTATATTAAGTGGCTTTAACTGTACACTATTATATATATATATATATATATATATATATATATATATATATATATATATATATATATATATATATATATATATATATATATGCAGTTGATTTTTAAACTAGACGTACAAAGTATGCAATTAGCAGGGATGGGCAGTATTTATGATATAAGTATTTCAAGTAAGTATTTCAAATACAAAATACTATTTTGTAATTTTGTATCAAAATACTTTACTGTCTTGTATTTTTAAAATACTGTAAAATACTTTGTAAGAAGTCTACATGATGACATCATCAAAATGTGGCTTCTAATTGGTGCTTTCTCAGTTATTTGCAGAACAAAAAAATTATTAATTTTAAAGAAGGTGGTCAATGCTTAGAGTATGGATGGAAATTCTCCAACACAGATAAAGAAAATCAGAGACTAATAGCATGTGTATATTTGGGAGCAAGACCACAAGTATTGAAAATAGTATACTACACAATGCTAAGACCAGTAATATGTAATGGCAGTATAGTGTACGATTCATCAGCATTGTTTCTTAGGAAATAAGATGGAATAAAATATCGCTCCAGAAACAGGAATATGAAACCTACAGTACATAATCATTCTCAGTCTTAGTGCTGCAGGTGGAAATGCAGAGGAAATTCATAAATAAAATTAAAAACACCTAAAGATGATGTACTGGTGTTCACTAAGGGGGTAAAACTGAGACACGTCCAATTAAAGAAGAACTTAAAGTCTGGAGAATGAGTAAACAGCACAAGTAATTTGAGTTTTAGATGGATTGATGTAGATGACAATAAAATAAGTAAAAAAAACAAAACAAAACATAAAAATAGGTCCTACAATACTTCATTGGCTGTTTCTAATGCCAGTGGTTGGTCTGCAGGTTGTGAATTGAAGAGCAGAATTGCAAAAACAACATGCTTTATAAAAATGACTGAAGATTGTAGTTTTCAGAAATTATGTTTTTTTTTTACATTGAGAATTGAAGATTTCAATTGTAAGCCCCTCAATTGTAATAATATTTAATATTGCAAAATCTAAAAAAAACCTTTTCACATATCACCCTTTTAAAAATATAAAACTTTTAAGGAATGGTGTTCTGGCCACACAAAGGTTGGAAACACAATGAAAAGATAGTACTATGTTCCAACTCATTATCTGCATTATATGGTTTTCACAGTAAATAAATCATCTTTAAGACAGTACTTTCTGCGTGGAATTACAACAAAATGTATACTAAAATGAAAGAGAAACAATATCTCCTCATGTACAGGATTAGAGGTGAATGGGTTGGCAGAGAAGTTTACTTAAACTTTCTCAGTGAAACACTGTTGCTGTCAATCATTGTTTACTTCACTAAGTCAGTTTAATGGTGAAGGGACTGATCGAATATGCAGGATGATAGAAGGTTTGCGAAGAAACATAACGCTCCTTTATTAAAGTACTATGTAGTATTTTCAAAATACAGTATCTTATTTTGATACATTTGTGGTTGCTGTATTATGTGGTTTATTTTGAAGCATGTAAAACTGAGGTATTTGGTCATTTATTTATTTTAAAATACATTTTAATGTATTTTTGCCCATCCCTGGCAATAAGAACATACAAAAGTGGGACCGGATTCAGGAGTTCAAAACTCTTTAACTGTGGCCTAGTTTGTCATTGATGTACTTTTTGACTGTTTCTGGAAATCCAGAGCTAGCACTCTTTGGACTTTCGGTAGTTTATTTGTATTGTATAGAAACAGCCATATTCAAATGCAGCGTGACATTTGTGTATAACACATAATAAATGCAAATATGGTGTACAGTCAGTCTTTTTAAGCTATGCATTGACATTGATTTACATTCTGTTTAGGTCTAAAAACGGAAACTGTTGCATAACCTATACCTCAGAGTTTATACTTTCTGTTTAGCATGCTTCAATTTATGCTTAATATATTTAAATCAGATTTAGGCTTACTGTATGTGAACAGAGCAGCTGTTTTTTTCATAGAAAAAGACTACACATTCTTTAAAAAAGGGTAGCACATATTCCATTTTCGAAAGCACATGATCCAATAAGCATGTAAGATTAAGATTATTGTAAATCTGTATCCGTATTTTCCACATCTGTTTGCTTTAATATTTTTGATGTGAACCATAGAGAAGGTGACATATGGACAAACACTAGGTCAAAGGTGGCTCGTAGTAAACAGACATTGAGACATGTTCTTTTTGAACTATGTTTTTCCTTACAGCACAGGCGAGCACCAATATACCCCACTGCCACACATTTCCAGATGTGGCTGGAGTCGTGATACAGTGGTGTCTATGACTCAATCATGGCATGGTCAAAGCTATAGATTACCATTTCCGTTGCAGATTAGTCGTCATAAGAAAAAAATTACATAACCTCGCCTCAATTTTCAATCACGTCACTTCCGTCTCAAGTGTAACTGTGAGGGAATACGCGAATAGCCATCACCAGAGCTCGACGTCAGGTCCTTCTTCAAATCATTCAAGCTGACAAGAGGGAGTGACAGACTGCCTTTCACACGGGGAGAACTTGTATTTTAGATCTTCAAACACTAGATAATCACTACAGCTGCAACTTTCGATCGTCTTTGTTTCTTGAAGACACACATTTTAGTTTGTAGCCGTTCTCGTGCTTCGGCTTAGTAAGCGAAATAGTCGCTAGGCAATCATGAACCACACCCCGGTTGTAAAGCGGCTACTGCAAATTCACTTTGCTTGTAGGTGTCTGTATATATTTACAGTAGAAATGAATCAGACAGTTTAGCTTATGTAGTTTAACGTGGATCAGGCTAGCTGTGCTTTCTTCTTCACACACCAGCGTGCACGCCTGATGCAAGCCTTTCGGCAAGTTAACATTCGCCGTATGTTGTGGGTGAAGAAGAGCACCTTGTGTTGCCCCTGGAGGTGCATTGGGTGGAGTGGGGTGGCACGCCGTTGCGAAGTATGATTCATCCTCGCGCTGTCACGCCCCATCTCCCCGTCTGCTTTCCATGGTACACCTGTAACTCGCCTGACCTCAAATCTGGCTAATTTCAACACGCTCAAATTGCAAAGACTGTTAAAAATCAAGCTATGAAAGGCTCATCTGGTACATTAACTCCTGCTCTCCATGCAGTGGAGGCCATTGCAACCAGACGCTTTCATTCAGCTGAAGATGCTTGGAGACTCGCGCGTTTGTAAGCTACAAAAATCGTTCTTTTGGAGAGTCGTGTATCACACGTCACTGACAGTCAAAAGCTTTAAAGCCAATGAAACCGATCTGGAAACACAAAGAAAATCGTTGAGCCCTTACTTTAGCATGGCTTGTTCCTTCTCCTCTTCTTCCCTTTGCCGAACCATCACTGCCATGATGACTTTCCTTTCCTCCTCCGTGAGGTGGCTCAAGTCTGGCATATCAGGCATGGGAGCCGGCACGGTGGGTGGGCGAGGGCCGCTTTGGGGCCCTACCGAGGCGGACATCTTTTGCCCCGCTCCCAGGCGAATCTATTGGCAGTATCCCGAGCGCTGGAGCCACACCTCACGACATGGTCCACGGATAGAGCAGCGTTCTATGAGAATAGTGCAAATCTCGCATGGTGTCAGGCACCCACAACTGTGCTTTTGTTTCTCTTCGTGTTTTTTTCCCAACCCACCCCTCCTCTTTTCTCTCTACCCCCACCCCCCGCCTCTTCCCTCCACCTCCAGTTACGGGAAGCCCATCATCTCTACGCCCGGAGACGACGCAAACAGAGGGACTCCGGCATTAGCTAGCAGATCTGTGATTTCCCCCTTCACTGAACCGGGGGCTCGGTATTGGGCGAAGGCAAAGGCGGAGTCCGTTTCTTTCTCTCTCTCTCTCTCTCTCTCTCAGGAGAGGAAAAAATGAGAGTCAATGGAAATGCAGATCGCACCGATCGTACGCTCACTCATATGAGAAATGGGCAAACAATATAAGTGTCAATATGCGAGTTACACTACCCGTTTCTTTTTTTTTATATCGGTGTGTTTGCTTGACCATCTCCCCATCACAGATCTCACGCATCCCTGTATTTTTAGGAGTAGCCTATCTGGCAATAGTTCGGCGCGCGTTCTCGTCAGGCTATTTTTAGAATCGCTTCAACGGACCTCTTAAAGGCAATCAATTCGTCTGTTTTGTCTGACAGAGGAATACTGTAATGAAATTATGCAAGAAAGTCGAATGTGCGCATGACGTTAATAATTTAAGCATCTTAAAAAAATCTACTGGATATCTTTCCTGGATATACTTTGCAAAACTGTAAATTTTGTAATTAGATTTTTTGAATAGGCTAAGTAAGCTAAACCAATGAATTCAACAAACTACCGATTATAAAGCTGGTGGAGATGATTTACATGCAGCTAAGTGCAAACTGCAGACGCTTTCAGAACTCTGGACAGCGGCACGTGACGCAGAACCACCGCCATCCATTTCAACGCAGTGAAGTGAAACTGCTTTGAGTTGTTTAATATTTCTTAATTTTAATTTTATCTTTAGTGCATTTCTGCTAATGTTTGTAATTTTATTTTCCTTAACCATAAATATCATATACGTATATCAAATGTTTTACATTTAATTAATGTTAATGTAGCTATTTACTAACACAATAATACAAACATTACTAACTACTGTAATACTAACATTACTAACTGCAAACACTTGTACAGCATTTATTAATCATAGTTTAGTATTTACTAATGCATTCAAATCCAAAGTTGTGCTTGTTCACAGTTGCACTGAGTTAACATGAACTATAACAATGAAAACTTTATTTTCATTAGCCAACGTTCACAAATATGAATAAATACTGTTAATTATTTATCAGTGTTGGGAACATTACCAAGTCAGCTCCCATTGCATTAACTACTGTTAAGAAGCACAATTGTGTATTTTAATGAGGCATTTAACCGATTAATGGTGTACAAAATTGTTCTTTATTGTCTACTTATTGTTAGTAAATGCAAGAATGGAGATTATTTTAAATTAACATTGTAAAGTCCTACTCCTTTTTGTTTTTGGATTGCTATTTTCCATTGCATTCCTATTTTTCGAATAATTAATTCATACCCTTTACTTGTCCAAAACCTGTACTAAGTTTCTTTCTTGTTCAACACAAAAGACATTTTGAAAAATGCTGAAAACCAGTAGCCATTAACTTCTACAGTAATTAACTTTTGTACAGTTAATGTCAATGGATATTTTGTTTCCTAAATAACTTCAACATAAAATGAAGTTTTTTCACTGAGAAAAAAAAAGGGTGTGGGTGTCGCCAACTGTATTATTTGCTATGTTGGCCTTCCTTTAAAAATGGTATTAGGGGCACTGTTGTATTGTGTGTCATTTTTGTTTGCTTGCAGGGTTGTGAAATTGTGGCAATAAAGCCTGTTATGTGCATGCTCAAAAAAGTGGGCTTGCCATGAATGTCTAATTATTCATTTATCTATAATTAACAGTGTGGTGACGACTAGCGACTCTTCAATCCAAACCCACTGCATTTTAAAGTTTAGTTTTCATGTAGGCTAAATGTTCCCACCGTCCCACCAATATAAGACTGAAAAAATATGAATTCGTTCGAACTAATATGAAGGCTGTCAGGAAATAGCTGACTGAATCTTCAGATTTATCGTTATGTTTTAAGGTATGTCCCAATTCGTCTACAGCCTACTGCCCAGTGTAATGGGGTAACGTTGTTGCATATAAAATTAGGAACAGCAGTGAAGCCTAGTTTTAATTAGTTTTAATAAATCCCACTGCTAATAGAGCGACAGAAAAACAAAAGTAAAAGTGGACAATCCGCGCCCTCTGTTGAGGCGAGACGACATTACACAGAATATATCTTCCCCGAGTTGGTAGTTGGCACACTTTTTACCTTACTACACGAAACATGTGTAAGCGTACATTAACTTTTAGTTTATTCGATTTAAACTTTTCAAGGAAAACAGGCCTATATAAAGTACAGTGACGAAGCATCATATGGTGACTGTTTTTGTGCAGTTGTGTCATTAAATTACATAAAGAAAATAACATGCTGAGCTAATAAAAACATGCATCACTTAAAACACAGTAATTTCGCCTTTTACTTACATTTTTTTTAAAATCATGGTCACAAATACGCATTTTCTTGTTCCTGTAACTTCATTAACGTAGCTACCCAGCACTCATTTTCCCCCTTAATGCTGTTTATCATTTGTAGTAATATAATTTACCCGTATAATTAATTGTAGAGAAATTTGACTTCTTGTTACACGGGGATGACTGTAGGGGGCAAAAAAAAAAAAAAAAATGATTAAAGGGATAGTTCACCCCAAAATAAAAACTGACGTCATTTACTCACCCTGCACTTGTTCCAAAGTTTTTTGGGTTTCTTTCTTATGTTGAACAAAGCATATTTTGCATAATTTTTGAAAGCTTCGGATATCAATGGCTACTTTTTTAACATTCTTCAGCAGAAGAAATTCTTACATGTCATTATGTATTCTGAATTATTATTTATTGCTAGAGGTATTTATATTAAATATTAAGTGTTTAATTAATTGATTATAAATGTATTTATTTATAAACTTCATATACACTACAGGTCAAATGTTTGCAGTTTTTTTCAAGAAATTTATTGTTCATTAAAGCGACATTTATTAAATGTAAAAAAAAAGTGTTGTTTAATATTTATTAAAATTTTAAACTGCTTTTTTATTTTGTGTAGTTTCAAATAAAATTTAAACCAGTCATTGATTTTATTACTATTAACATTAATAATAATACCATTATTAATAATAACTAATATTAGAGTGATTTCTGAAGGATTGTGTAATTCTGAAGAATGGAGTAATGACGCTGAAAATTCATATTTAAAATGACAGGAATAAATTATTTATTTAAATTATAAACTACTTTTGAACAGTTATTTTATAGTACAATAACATTTCACAATATTACAATTTGTTCTGTATTTTTGATTAAATAAATGCAGCCTTGGTCAGCAGAATAAGCTTATTTTAAACCATGGAAACCTCTTTCCTAGATTGACAAATCAGCATCAGAGAGAACAGTCACACAGTTTATGTCCAAAATGAATTTAATTAAATCATTTTTTAATTCATATGTTCATTTTTGACAAAATGTATATACAAAGTTAAACAAAAAGCAACACAATTAAAAAGACAGACACGCATATTAAGTGGTAGACCTGATATGTAACCATTATTGAATAGCAATAAAAAATCCATAATGGCCAAGCTTTAAAAAAAAATTAAAAATAATAAAAGAAATAGACAATGAGAGTTACTAACAAACATGCGTAAAACAAAATTACACATATTCAAATTAGATTTAGACAAGTGCTCTTTAGATTCAAAAAAAGTTTTCCAGACGGATTTTATTGCAGTCTTCTGGATGTCGCATAGCAATTCCATTGCGAAGAAGCATCTCTGTGTAAGGTGGCCAAAAAGTGTCATCAATAGTCACATAAGGGTCATGAGGAGTCTCTAATGTTTTATTGGTCAACCTCTGCAATAAATAAATATGTTTTGTTAATTGTGTTAATATTTAGGGATTAGTAAATTAAGCACCTTGGATCAAGAAACAATTTAATTACCAATGTATTATTTCAATAGCGCATTTTATCCCTCTTAAGAAGATTACAAACATAAGGTGGAGATATAAAAAGAAAGGGTTTATTGTGATGGGTATCTGAACATACCTCGATAATCTCACTCAGTGAAATCAGGTTAATCTCTGCAGCATCATATGCAGCAGCCTGAAAATCCAAATCCAATAGTCATATAAAGCAGAGAGTTAAAGTAAAAAAAAAAAAAAAATCAAATCCAATATTGTCTGACCTGATGGCACTTACTCTTTTTTTCTTACTGCCGTTTTCTTGAGGATCAGGAAGTGGGAAGTGCTCAGCTAACATGTCGCTCAGCATTTCCATGAGGCTGCTATGATATTCCTTTAACTTATGGATTTTCCTCTTCATTTCCTGCGAAACACTGCAAGTAAATTAGGAATCATTTGCTTATTGATGTTATTTGTAAAAAATATCTTTATGTAAAAAAATAAATAAATAAATACACAACACACCATGCATATACTCACCTGCCACTTTATTAGGTACACCTGTCTAGCTGCTTGTTAACTCAAATTTTTAATCAGCCAATCATGACAGTAACTCAATGCATTTAGGCATGTAGACATGGTCAAGACGATCTGCTGCAGTTCAAACCGAGAATCAGAATGGGGAAGAAAGATGATTAAGTGACTTTGAATGGTTGTTGGTGCCAGATGGGCTGGTCTGAGTATTTTAGAAACTGCTGATCCACTGGGATTTTTATGCACAACCGTCTCTAGGGTTTTCAATGAATAGTCTGAAAAAAAGATAATGGTCAGTGAGCAGCAGTTCTGTGGGCGCAACTGACATGTTGATGCCAGAGGTCAGAGGAGAATGGCCAGACTGGTTGGAGCTGATAGAAAGGCAACAGTAAGTCAAATAACCACTCACAACCAAGGTATGCAGAAGAGCATCTCTGAACGCAAAACATTGAGGGTACAATGGGCTACAACATCAGAAGATCACACTGTGTGCCACTCCTGTCAGCTAAGAACAGGAAACTGAAGCTACTATTTGCACAGGCTCATCAAATTTGGACAATAGAAGATTGGAAAAACGTTGCCTGGTCTGATGAGTCTTCATTTTTTGCCGCAACATTCGGAGGGTAGGGTCAGAATTTGGCATAAACAACATGAAAGCATAGATCCATCCTGCCCTGTATCAATGGTTCAGGCTGGTGGTGATGGTGTAATGGTGTGGGGGATATTTTCTCGGCACACTTTGGGACCATTAGTACAAATTAATAATACCATTGTGTCAACGCTACAGCCTACCCGAGTATTGTTGCTAACCATGTCCATCCCTTTGTGACCACAGTGAACCCATCTTCTAATGGCTACTTCCAGCAGTATAACGCACAAAGTCCTAAATCAGTAATCATCACAGACTGGTTTCTTAAACATGACAATTAGCTCACTGTACTTAAATGGCCTTCACAGTCACCAGATCTCAATCCAATAGAGCACCTTTGGGATGTGTTGGAACTGGAGGTTCACATCATGGATATGCAGCTGACAAATCTCAGCAACTGCATGATGCTATCGTGCCAATATGGACCACAATTTCTGATTTCCAGTACCTTGTTGAATCTATGCCATGAAGGATTAAGGCAGTTCTGAAGGCAAAATGGTGTTCAACCGGTAGTAGTAAGGTGTACCTAATAAAGTGACCTAGTAAAGTGAGTGTACATTCTTACATACAAGACACAGTTTGGGCTTTATTTGAACTCTCTCAAGGGTTTGATGTCAAACACTAATCAGCAAATAAAGCTTATTAAAGGAACAATTTCACTAAAACTGAACATTCTGTCCTCAATTACTCACCTTTGTTACAAATCTGTTGGGAGTTTCATTTTTTTTCTGTTAAACACATTTTGGTAACACAAATTGGTAACTATTGACTTCCACAGTATTTGTTTTTTCTATCATGAAGACCGAAAGGTCACCAGTTTCTAAAATAGCCTCTTTTGTGTTTAATGGAAAAACTTGAGTTTTGAAAAACTCAAAAAAGGTTTGGAACAATTAGAGGTTGATTAAGTTTTCGATTTAGGGTGAACTAGCACTTGTACTAACTGTTTTTGTTTTCAGCCAAAATAAATTAATGCATCACAAAGAAAAACCTTTGAGGTTTTGAATGGCATATAAATTTTAAAGGGTAAAAATAATTTATTAATTCTAAAGTAGTCACATTTTTAAACAAATATTGTTTAAACAATAGGGTTTTAACATCAGCATTAGAAAAGAAAACTAAGCACCTGTGATCTGATTTCTGTTTTTCTTGTTGTAGTCTGGCAATTTTCTCTGTCACTGAATTCAATGCTTCTTGCTTCTCTGATTGCCATGTCTGCTCCCTGACAAAAAACAAAAAAACAATTTTCACACAGTGTACAGATGTCTAAAACAGTATTACAGAAAAAGAAATACATGTACTATTTTGCAACACAGTATTAAGCATCTTTAAGAAACAAATGCACACTTCTCTTATGTATATTCTTATTTAAAATATGAGTTAATTATAAAAATGTTAAATCAAACTAAAATCCTAACAATTTTACTTGAAATAAAAGACAACACAAAATAAGTACTAAAATATCAAAACCAAAGAAGCCAGCAGTAAAAAAAGAAAAAAAATGTTTTTTCTGACCTCATACAGTTATGAAAAAATATTTTTATTAAAATATGAAAAAATAATTATACTAAATTAAACTATTCTGGATTTTAAATTACTAAAAACATATTGGTGACAAATGAATAAAATTTGGTGATTTGAAAACTCATAATGACACCAAAAGATAAATATTAAATAATAAGTCACCTTTTTAAAATCTTTTTCTGGGCATCCAGCTTTGCTTGAGAGCATGACAGGACCATTTTAAGTTGACTGTGGAGTCTTTGCAGCTACAAGGAAAGATGTGTAAAAAATTGTAAATACTATAATGTTTTATTACATTTCTATTACAGTGTGTGTGTGTTTGTGTGTGTGTGTGTGTGTGTGTGTGTGTGTGTGTGTGTGTGTGTGTGTGTGTGTGTGTGTGTGTGTGTTTTAGTGATGACATACCTCCTTTTTTCCAACAGCTAATAAGACTTCAGTATTTGTTGTCAGCACTAGAAAGAAAGAATTAATAATAAAAAGTCTTTGATAGAGCGTGTGATTCATAGTTACACCAGATGTGGCTTAAGGGCTGCACAATATATCGTTTCAGCATCGATGTCGCAATGTTCTCATCCACAATAGTCACATCCCTGAATAGACATGTACATGTATTTGTCTGACCATGTACTTAGACAACAAACACAGTCAGTCCTGATGCCCTTTTATTCGTACATTAATTAGTTAGTTAGCTAGATTTGATGATTGAGGATTTGACACAATGCAGGATAGTTTTGTTCTTCAAAGCGCATCCAGGAGTTGTTGTCATAAAAACATGTTTGGTAGCTCAAACCTGCTCAGGAGCAGGCTTATTTCATAAAGCATTAGATTGTTTAATTTCAAGCGAAGATGATACTAAAAATATAAAGGTATTCAGAGCACTACATTAAAGAGAGGAAAATAAAAATATTGAACATTTATTCAAAAATTAAAACCATTTAAAACTTATGTAATCCACACTCTGAAATAAAGGTATTAAAAATGACGCAGGGACTGTACCTTATTGAGGGGTTCAAAAAGAACATTTTTGTGCTTTTTAGTTACTAGTATGTACACTTTCTTTAGGTGAATAATTTATAACTTTAAGCAACCAATATGATACCATCCAGTCTAGTATATTTTCTGACAGAGTACTGTAATAGACAAGAAAGATTAATTATAAAATTTGCGGAAATTATGCACACACAACCTTGAGTGCTAATATGTGGGAGAAGTAATGCAGTGCAGGAGTTGCAGACCACTTCTGAAGTATCAATAAGCTTTAAACAGCCAGTTATGCCTTTGACCACGAATTTAACTGGAATATGATCCCAAAGAAAATCCACTCCAAAGGTAAAACTAAATAATTTGCTAAATATAGTTACAGGCCCACACGGATTCTGTCTGGCCCTAGTGAAACATGCAAGTGTAAAGTCTGTACAAAAGACTACAGCAAAGTTGGAAAGTTCTTGTGTATCATATTTAACAAACCGTTTCATCCACTAAGAATTGTCATTGTGCTTACATTGATACATAGTTAAATAATATTTCGATTATGTCATTACACTGCTGTCCTGACAGCCGGTTACAGCATTGCTGATCATGATTTCAAGGATCAATAGATATATCCTTTGCGACAAAATGAGCACACATAGTAATCTCAGCTCAATTCATCCAGATATTTTAATCTGATTTGTAAACTTGTTTGATGAGCCAAAATAACCAACCAGATTAAATATCAACATCAAAAGATCTGGACTATGCCAAATCGTTTTAGATCTTTTAAAAGAGGAACAAAAAGCAGACCCCTGATGTTAAAGTCACCGGAGCTAAAAAGACCACAGCAGTGCAACAACCATTCACATTATTTTCATCTTTGGGTCTAAAAATGTAACATGCTTAAAATTATTTTATTTTTTTATTAAAGTACATCATCCTTCACGTTGCAGTCAAATAAATAAGTTGCCGTGCCAACTTACTATTGCAAATAGAAGCTTGCAACTCTTGCTCTGCCTCAAAGCTCTTCTCAATGGTCTACTTCTTTAAAACACTGATGAGCAAAGCAGTGTGTAAAACTTGAAAAAATTTTATTTTGATGAAAAACCAAAAAAAAAATAAAAATAAAAAAAAAAACGATCATTATTTGCAAGACACTGTAAAAGACACATGTATAAGGTCACGCATGTCCGTCAAGTATATGTTTACATAAGAAAAACAATGGACTGACCCATGTCATCTGCCAATCTGTAGTTATTTTATATACACACACACACGTACAAGAGCAGAGGTTGAAAAAGTTAAATACCACTGCACCCGCTGATGCATCAACAGGAGGATAGAACTTAACATTTAAAAATTATAAACATTTGAAATTATAAAAGTTCTATTTTTTATTACTCTATTATTTTGTACTTTTGCATCAAAAGACACTTTTCAGTTCTGGGATTGATTGGGACAAAAACCTTTACCTGCTCAAAATAAATAGAAAGAAAGCAAATACTGGGTGCATTGTTGGCTTTTTCATGTTCTAACAAAACCATATTGAACACTCACCTCAAAAACGAGGTAGGTACCAAACTGTAATTTCTGTGTATTATTACATCCCTATTATTTACATGACATAATTCTGAAATGACACATATAACAACAGATATTTACTCACATTTTGGTTCAATTTCCTGCCACTGCTCTAACTCAGATGTGATTGCAATCAGGCGGTTCACTGCCTGCACAAAAAAAAAGAAAATACAAGATACACAGACCCATTCAAACTATTTATTTAAAAGTACTAAAAAGAAGGACAAACCTCATTTGACTGATCATCATAAGCCTCCGTGTCTGCCATTATTATCTCATTTTGAAGCTGAAAGATATTAATAAAGGTTTATATTAATTTGTCAGTTGCATCCAAAGGGATGAATAATAACAAGAAAACACATTGTCAATATATTCTCCAAATATACATTTCTGGGTAGCACACAATGAGAAGCGTCCTCAATTTCAAAATTTAAAAAAAATAATAAATAGACCAACTGTTTATCAATGTTAGTCTGATTTGTAGTTATAATGCAGCTAATTATATTTTAACTAGCGAAACAGCAGCATTGTGTAATCAGGTGAAAAAAAAAAATGAACGTTGCTGCTGCTGGAACATTTAAATGAGTATCAGAGATAGGACCATATGGACGTAGAAAAATTAAGACTTTAGGACACAACACTTTAGTAAGCTTATGGCTTTCTGTGGCCTAAAATGTTGTTTTGCTTTGTGTAAGACTCTTTAGACTTTTTGCTGCTTAGAAAATTGATTTTTTTTTATATGCAGATGACATTTGTTTTTCTTTCTTTAGGCAGAAATTGTCATTTTTTCAGAACATTTTTTTTTTTTTTTTTTTTTTACATTTTGCTAAATTCTACTTTTTTAACCTTAGAGTGCAAGACTTCTATTCTAGTTTAACAGCCCTACACTGTGAAACAGTGTAATGTACTTTTAATACCTGACGAAATCCTGAATCAAAAAGCAAAATAACAGTGTCAGAACTGCACACTATGCAACTTTTGTCATTAACGTTAACGTTCCGTGTAAACATTCAAACCACCTAGGTGTGAGTGCCTTTAATCCAAAAATGGTTTATTTTCATACAAAAAAACTGATATACTTCAACTTAAAGGACAGCTAATCTAAGAACATTAAAATGTGTCAAATTACCTTCTGTAGCAGCCCGAACTGCTCCTCACACTCATCCAACAACACAGCTTTTGCAGCACTCATACAGCCTGTGTCCTCTGAAGTCTGAACCTCCTTCTCCATCTCTATTTGCTTAGGTAGACCAGGGGTCTACAAATGTTATTGATATAAAACAAAAGAACACTAAATGAAAATAACAACAACAAACAAATTGTTAAACAAATAGGCGAGTAAACGCGCGTATCTACTCCAGACAACGGCGTAAACTCGTTAGCCGTGCAGCTAACTAACCAGCGATTTCAAATGATCATAAGCGAAACAATCCTGTAAAGTGCAAACGCGTTTGTTTCTCACTTGCAAAAGCTACTTGTGCTTTCATGTTGTAAACAGCGTTTAGCTAGTCGTACTAGTACTCACCATACTTATATTTAAGCTAATGCTTGACCACAGCTTCAGATCAAACAGCGTACATTCAAAACAAAAATACCGCCAGCCAACGCGACGTATTGACGTAATGCTGATGTAATACGCCGTGGACGTTCAATGGCGTTGTGACTAACTGCTCTGCTCATACGTTAGCCACAGTCATTTAGTATTTCGTTTAATTCAGAATTGATTTGTTCACAAATGGAATACGACTGATTTGAGCATTGACAACGAACGTTAAATGCCACGAGAACGATATACAATCCTCAAGAATGATATATGAATGAATGAACACCAACTTTCTCTCACAAACATAAGAAATTGTGAAATTCGGGTGAGTGCGTAGTCAATACCGTGCGTAGTCAATATGTTCTGCTGTATATACGTAACTGCTGGTATAAAACCATAGATATTTACATGTTGTATGGTATAAAACAAGATGTGGAGGAGTGCAAGAATCACCAGAATGTTCACCAGAGGGCAGCAGAAGTACAGAACTTGTGCCGAGAGCGAGCCATCCGTGAGAAATGATACTTTCCTCAAAACATTCTGCAGAAGGCCTACATTCTGCTCAGGTTTGGAAATAAAGAAGAATTAAACAATGGAAAATATGTTTTGCTTTGTTTTTATCTAGCGTGAGTATGCCTTAACATATAGGCCAAAGTTTGATGGTTGCAGTTGCATTAGAGTGAATTTTGTCCATTTAAACTAACGTAACAACGCAGCATGTTAGAATGAGAGATGGAGTGGCCTAAAGCAGAATACATTTTTAAACATGTTCTATTTAAATAAGCATCTGTGGATGCTCTGGTGTTAGTGTCTATAGTGTGCTAAAAAAGCAATTGGTCTTTAAAATGAAAATGAAGAGACATTCTTATATATATATATATATATATATATATATATATATATATATATATATATATATATATATTTATATGTGTCTATATATATATATATATATATATATATATATATATATATATATATATATATATATATATATATATATGTGTGTGTGTGTGTGTGTGTGTCACGTTTTAAGGATCATGTTTACGGTAGGACATGTGCGCTATATTTTGAAAACAAAAAGAAAAACGCCTACTGAAAATGTCAAAGAACAATAAAATGTACATTTTTATTGAGTAACAAACACCTGACAATGCAACAGGCTTCACAAGTGATAGTAGATTAGCATGTTCTCTCATTAATTAAACAAAAGTAGGCATTTTGAAAACTGTATGTTCAAATAAAATAAATTTTCCCCTTTTATTTTTATACATCTTGACTTAACAGTCTCAATCAGTTGTGCAGATATATTTGTCAACAATGAGCACATTTAGAATATTGATTACTTCTGTTTACATTATGCTTGTGTTACCAAAGGCAACACCATATTTTTATAACAATCAATACAAAGAACTCCATTATCCAATAGTATCTGGATGCAGCCTTTATGATCCAAGCTGAGACTGCATCACTCAGCTATGCAATGGCAGACACAATGCACTCAAATGGAGCTAGTGATGTCACTGTTACTGCTAGGGTTAGGGGTGGGGTTAGGCGAGCCCATTAAAAAGCATTGGATGCAACCGAGATTGCACTGCACCAGGTCTGCAGCTAGACCCCTCTCCCATTATCAGCACCGTCTTTGTGAATGAAACTTAAGCAAAAAGAGATTGATTGGCTCTTCTCTTTCATCTTAAATGTGCAGTAAGCGATCTGTAAAAATGCTGGCTTTAGCAAAATAGCATGTCCTTCCCTGCCATCCAATGCCTCCTGAAGTTATGAACACCACTGAATAGATGATTATAGGTAACCTGAAAGCACTAGATCAGTGGTTCTCAAACTGTGGGTTGCGCCCCCCTGGAGGGACAATAGATGGCGCTAGGGTGGCCACAAAGTAAATCTAGATCAAGGGTACTCAACAGGCCCATCTGCGTTAATTTTATGTCCCGCGTCATTCCAAAAAGTATAATTTACGGAACTCCGGAAAGGACGTAGTGGAGGAGAAAAAAATGGGCTGGGTGAAAAAAAAAAATGGGTGAAAGAAAAAAATGGGTGGGAGGAAAATATATATTTCCAAGTTTTTGCGTTCTCTCGCAAAGTTTTGCGTTCCCCTTGCAAAGATGTTTTGTGTTCCCTCGCAAAGTTTTGCGTTATCTCGCAAAGATGTTTTGTGTTCCCTCGCAAAGTTTTGCGTTATCTCGCAAAGATGTTTTGCGTTCCCTCGCAAAGATGTTTTGCGTTCTCTCGCAAAACTGTTTCTCCACTTAGTATGTGATGCTCAAATGCGCTTAACAAAATACTGATTAATGATTCCTTTGTCTTTTTCGTGATGAAGAGTAGGCAAAATCTGATGTGTAGTGGGTGAAAGAAGAATGAGTTCATCAGACACTAGATTCGAACCGAGTTCATGATTGATAGTGTCAAAACATGTTGCCATGCACTTTAAGAACAACGCCACTCACGCTGCTGATGTCAACTCTCTTTAGTTTTGCTGTCTCTGTCGATCAGACGCACTTGCACTTAGCCTAAATAGACACTACAAAATGTATTTTACATCTTTACATCGGACCATTTCTTTTTTAATTCACTCACAGTGCGATGTTCAGATCCCACTGCAAGACCTGTGTCAGCTCTCCCACTCTATTTTTAAAATTTTTTTTTTGTTTTTAATTCCGGAGGACAAACCTACAAATAACACAGTTTTTCTCCAGTCTACCTCCGATAGGAGCACCTCCAATTCACATTCTGTTCAAAGTTTCTCTTTTTGTTTGCTTTTGCCATTGCTTTTTCGTTTAGTTTTGCCAAAGTGGAATCATTATCATATTTATACGGGGAAGGAGGCAGGGAGGGGTTTTGCGCTCATGCACGTGTGCTCAATTTCACGTTAATTTGGATGTACAAAGAGAATATGCGTGGGATTCTGCGTACGCAGTGTTTCATACATCTGAATTTTTTACTGCGTACGCACATTTACAGCTTTGTGAGTATGCACAGTTTTAGTATGAATTCAACGCAAGTCTTCGTACATGAGACCCCAGCAAATTTCTGGAGTTGAAAAATTAGGAGTTAGGCAAAAAAGTGTGAAAGAGTTAATTTTTTTGAGTTTATTTCTAAACTTTCACACAATTTTGTGTTATGGGATACCCCTTGCTGTGTTGTATTCTGGAGTTCATTCTCTGGTGTTCAGAAACGTGCTTTAACTCCTTACTGGAGTTAAATTTTTAGAAAGTCCGCCATTACACAACTCTGCCGAGCAGCACATGAGAACTGGAGTTATGTTCTTCGTTGTGAGGTAGGTAAAAGTGCATTGTTATACAATTCTAAAAGCTTTTTCTAAATGTTGGATGTTTTGTAGCAGAAGTGTGTTTTGCTGTAGCTGTTTCATTTTGTACTGTGAGGCTAGTGACTGCATGTGGCTAACTTAGCATAGCATGTTAGCTTTTCCAATGAGGCTGTTTTGTGCAGTTTTTTTAAAAAATGTTGTGGATGTGAACAAGCTAACTCTAGCTAATAATCTTTTCTTCCCCTGTGTTTCTAAAAATGTGTGTTCTGCTGTCAAAAAGAAGTGGTAGGCCTACTTGATCAGATGGAGAAACCTGCTGTTCACATTTCAAATAGGCTAACTTACACAACGGGGTAATGTCATTATCTTTTATCCAGCAATAGAGCTTTATGTCTGTAAGATTTAATATGTGTAATATTGCTCATGAAATGTTCTGGATTGTATCATGATTTAGTCGTGACCGTGAGAGTATGCTGTTTTCAGCTATATTTACATTACATTTTCAATCACACTAACATAAGTTGTTAAATAACATTTATCTTTTTTATTTCAGGCCACGATGCTGATAAAAGTGCAATTTGGAGGCAAGAAAAAATATATTAAACTGGAAGAAGATTGTTTCTTGGATTTTTTCAGTGCGGGTGAGTTTTAGTGTAACAAAGAGTATTTTTAAAAATATATAATAATAATAATAATAATAATAATAACAGTCATTTTGAAATTTATTTGATAAATTATACATTGTTGTTATGTTGTAGTCCAGCACAAGTTTGTGATACCAGAGGATACAGCATCGAAAGTCACAGATGACCATGGCATAGAGGTGGATGAGGATGTATTTCAAGAACTTGCAACAACCAAAGAAACATGTCATCCACACTAATGATGGTAGGTTATTTAAGAACATTTTTATAGATTTTGAAAGTTGGTCTCATGACTCAGAGTGAAAGTGTGCATTTCAGAACCATTTGCTGACACGTGTTGTTGTTGTTTTTTCATCAGATTTGACTGTCCTGCAGCAAGGGGCTGTTGAAGTGCCCTCCTCCCCAAGTCTGACAGATACATTGTCTGTGTCAAGCAGTTTGAGCAGCAGTGATTCTGGATCTCAAATTATTCAACCTTTAATGGGCAGTGTCCAAAAAAATGTAAGTTTTTTTTAAACTTCCATATACATAGATATTATACCGTAAACATTACAAAATAACGTTACAAAATGAATGCATTTTAAAGCAAAAAAATAGTAGAAACACAGTTATTAGATTAAGTTTTTTTTGTTAATAAAATGTTAATTTTGGTTATCTTTCTAAATACTTTTTTTTTCTTCGTTTCAGAAAATCGAGCAAATTCTAACTTCAAAGCCAGCAGAGTTGACTGTGATTAAGGAGTATGACAAGATATTTTTTTGCTGCTTTTGATTCCTGTGAAGTTAATTTTATATAATGTAATGTGTTGATTGTCTCATGCAATTTTACTAAGCCATTGGTTTTAGTTGGCACTAGCTGCTAACATATATTAATTGTAAATGTTTTGCTGTTAGATTTAATGCTTTGATGACAATTAATTTCAAAGTGTGTACATCGATGGAAATTCTAAATCTAATGTGTGGATTTGCATGAATAAAAGCAGTAAGTAAAGAGTATTGCATCAGTTCAGTCATTTTCATATATATATATATATATATATATATATATATATATATATATATATATATATATATATATATATATATATATATATATATATATATATATTGTTTGAAGTACACTTTAACTCTAAAAAGTGTTAAATTTTAACATTGGTAAGGAGTTTATATTATACCCAAATGTAAAAGTACTCTCTGTAGGATTACAATTTTAACTCCAGAAAGTGTTATAATCTAACTCAAAAAAATGTGTTAAAATTCAACTCCAAAAGCAGAGTGATTTTAACTCTGAATGGGAGTACATTTGATGGTCACGCATGTACACTCAGATTGAGTTGATTTTGACTCCCAGGGAGTTTATTCCAAAGACCAGAATTTGCTGTGAGAAGAAGTTAGACACATGGGATATTTTTCACCAGATTTTAAAAATGTTAAATCATCACATTCGGTAAATAATGCTTCTTCATGTTATAACTTTTAAAATGACATATATGCACTGATTGTTAATGTATTGTTCCCAGTATAAATGTTTTTTTTTTTTTTTTTTACAGCAGATTAGACCTTTTACTAATACATGTGGAGTTTGGCCACATTTTTAAAGCCTAGTAAAGTTTTAGGTTTGCAATATCTCAATATGTGTAGAAAAATAGTACTTTTCTAGTTCTGTGACTAAACTACTACAGGTATTTTTTTATCTAAATTTTAATGGATCTCCCATTTAGGTACAGTAGAAAATATTTAGCAAAAATGTTAACAATAATTCATTTAAATGTAATTTTCTAATTCTAAAGGTTGTTCAGAGAGCAGACTGAGTTATTAAATGAGAGATTTTAACAGTTTTCCATTTATAAATGTACAGTAGTCAAATATTTAAGAACAAATATTTACAAAAATTTACCCAAATGTGTTTTTCTTAATCTGAAGGTTGCAGCAGCAGATTCAATTACAACAGGTGAGATTTAATTAATCATCTATCTTTTTTCTGTGTTTACAGTAAAGTAATATTTACAAAAATTCACATAAAATGCCATTTTCTCATTCTAAAGGTTGCAGCACACTCCCAGAGAAAGACAAACTTACTACAGGTGATATTTTACCAAATGTATCCTGTCATATGCACACAGTAAACACATATTTAAACAACAGTAGATAAATAATTTTGAAAGGTTTTAGTAAATTCGTATTTCAAAGATTATGTGATTACTCTGGTCTTTGTTATGTACACTATTTATTCAATGTGTTTTTGCTTTATTTATTTATTTTTTTTTCATTTCTTCATAGAATTACTTTAAGCAGAGTGGGGCATTTGGTATTGATAAATAAAATGGAGCTGCAAGTTTCACTACAACCAATCAACAAATTGTCATAAGATACTAAAAGCTGAAACACTACTATCATGCAAGTAATGATAAAGGTAAATAAGATTTGGTGTACATGTTGTGTTTATGTCTTTCAGCTTTAATGTTTTAAGATCAGATTTTATAATCTTTCAAGATCTGGAGTGATTTTTTTTTCCAAGAGCCTGTGTATATATATATTGTAAGTACATTGTGTAATTGTGACTAAAGACCTTGAATAAAATGTGTAATGTATTTTGTTGTCTGTTCTGTTTCTAAATAAGAAAATGTAAGTTAATGTATTTAAACTAAACTAGGAAAGTTCTGCTAACTTGTTAATGTAGTTAAAACTAAACTTTGCGAGTCCAGTTAGCTTGAATTAGGTAGTTGGGTCAGTTATTTAACTCTAGCAACTAAACATTTTATTAAATTTAAATAAACATTTTAAGTAGTTAAGTCTACTTAGTCCATGTAACACGATGACTTAATTTAAGATGAGTAAACAAATTTTTTTTTTTTATAGTGCAGTCAGCTGGGCACTTCGAACTTCATAGAAAACGAATAACATTTTAAAGACATGGCACAACATTGCACCTCGCCACTGTGCGACAGTCTTTACACCAGTGGTCTCAAACTCAACTCGAGGACCACAGCTCAACCACCTTCAACTCTTACCAGCCTAATAGTCTCTAGTTTTTAACACCTTGATTAGTTGGGTCAGCTGTGTTTAAGTAGGGTTGAAGTACAACTGAGCTGTGGCCCTCCAGGAATCGAGTTTGAGACCCATGCCTTACACTTTGCAATTGTGCAAATATTAGACCAGGGGGTACAAACTCGGTCCTGGAGGGTCAGGGTCCAGGAGAGTTTAGTTTCACCACACCTGAACCAACTGATCAGCTCTTCTAGAACTAGATAGAAACTTCTTTTAAGGTGTGTTGAAGCAAGTGGAGCTAAACTCAAGCGGACACTGGCCTTCCAGGACCAAGTTGAATCACAGTTGAAATGCCGGTGTTTGACGATCTGTGTCACCTCATCAGAATGTGCTATCAGTAGCTCAATTTGTCATATTTCATCTAAAAAACAGGGTTGGCACATCTTGTCAGCTTCAAATGTCTATCAGAATGAACTACCACATTAAATAAGGATGTAAAAACAGGGGTAGCACATATTGTCAGCTTCAAATATCCAGCAAAATTAACTACAACTCTATTGAACACTGTAGAAAAAGACGTAGCAGTTTCAAATGTTTATCAGAGTACTGCCTTAATTTTTGTATTTTATTAGTTTTATATTTAATTTGTTTATTAGAGTGGTAGTTCATTCCGATTGACATTTAAAGCTGACAAAATGCATTACCCCTGTTTTTACTCCCTTCTTTGAGGAGGTAGTTCATTCTGATAGACATTTGAAGGTGAAGATGTGCTAACCCTGTTTTTTTAGATAAAATATGACAGATTGAGCTATACCGGTAGCACATTCTGATGAGGTAGCACAAGTCGTCAGAACACCAGCTGGCATATAATAGATAATATAAATGTATATTCATAGCTACATGAAAGTGAAAATAAATTCATAAATAAAATAAATTAATAAAATAAATTAATAAGTGAAAACATTGCAAAAATGTGCTTTTTTAAAATAAACAATAGCTTAATCATATTCTTAATACCACTCTTTTTCAAACTCAGAAAGTAGTTCAGTGTTGAAAAAGACACTTGGACACATGCCCAATAATTCAATGGTCTTAAATCACAACTTGCACTTTTAATATTTTCAGTTGTAAAATGTCCCAAGAAGTAGACTACCCCATTTATTTAAAAGTAAACAAGAACCCCAAGAACATCTATATGGTATAAAAATGGATCTTAAGTAAAAGAATAATATACATCTCAGTCCAAAAAAAAATGTATTATTCTGACTATTTGTTTATGTGTCAGTTTAATCAGGGTTAAGAATCGTTATAACCAAGTATATAAAATTTATACTGGGGAATTTTTTAATCCAAATATTATTTTCTTTTTTGTCTGAAATATATTCAATAGGCCCACACGGAATCTGCACGGACAGAAATCTGCAGATTTCCACAGATTTTCAGCCCATCATTGAGTGGATGTATTTACTTAAATGTGTGTAAATGTATATTTACTCAGTTTTTAAATTAATTTCACTAATATTATTGTAATATAATAATAGTAATATTAAAATGTTCATATGATTTATTTACAATACGGTTGGTAAAGTAGTATTTTCTGCCTTTTAGTAAAGATATTATATGAGAGACTTGCTTTGTTTACCAAATAAGCAGATCTATTTTGATTTGCATTGTGAACATAAATAAAATTTTAAAAGGTTTTTTTTTTTTATTCCATAGATAAAAATAAATGATATATATATATATATATATATATATATATATATATATATATATATATATATATATATATATATATATATATATATAACTGCTGAATCTGAGGCCTGCTTCATAAAGGAGGTTAATGAAAAATTGAGTATATTTTAACACTGAAATGAGGGATACTGTGTTTTCTGTTTCAGATTAGGTAGATATTTCAAACTCAACAAAGCGGGGTAAGTCAAGCCTGTTCCTACAGTTACAAGTTAATAGTAGTAACTTTGTGAACCTAATGGAGTAGGTTTTCTTCATTAATCCCAAAGTTTCTTTGGGTCTTTTTGTTTTTTAAAGTGCAAGCGATCTTTAAATTTTCCATTCATCTACACAGCAAATTCATTGGTGTTAAATTTCAAGTGTTGTGGTAATTCAGAGTAAAGTGTTAAAATTCTAGAGTTAGATAAAGGTAAGATAACCCTCTCGGCGTTAGAAGCTGATTTGCCTCCTTGTCACACAGAGTAACATGTATCTACCTTTGTAGAAAAGCCTTGTATTTGAGAAACTAATCAGAGTGTCTGAAATCTCGCCACACCCTCATTCACCTGGCCCTTAAATTGGTCAATTAGTTTAGTCCACTAGACAGAGCGAATGACCACAAATAAGTGAATTCAGACACCTGCTGTTGAACACCTGCTGTTAACAAGCACAATCACTGAAGGAATAAGAAATTGAAGAAAGAAATAAAACTACAGACACAGCCTCACACCAAACCAACTGAATTAAAACAGAGGATTAAACAACTCCATTAAATAATAGTATAAGCAGCTTCACTGATTACAGTTCATTTCATGACTTCATTTCTGTAAGAATATTTGACAATGAACAGAGGTTTATATTTTTTTATTAAAAATATTTAATTTGACCTCACCATCATGGAGATCAGAGGCTGCTTATTTGAGCTCTTGAAGCTTTATTCTTATATCCTAATGGTTCTCTGACTGTTATAGCTGTGTTTCTAAAATTTATCAGTTATAGCAAGAAAGGTCAAGAGAAACTATACTGTAAAGCTTAAGTGTTCTAGATATAATTTCAGATGTTTAATAAGTTGATTGATAAAATATGCAAATATAGTTGCATTAAAACTGCATGGGACAATACTACTACCAGTCTGCTGCTCTTTATAGAAAATTCAACAAACAATTAGGATGCAATTAATAATTAGAGTGTCATGCATTAAACATTCAAGCTCCAGCTTGCTCATTATGACACACAGACATCAAGAATCAGGATATGAACCTCAACAGTGGATGCTAAAAAAAAAAAGCTGCATAGTTCATGCCGCAATGCATGCTGGGTGCCAGCAAAGTACAAAGCTCCCAGCATGCATTGCAGCATGAATAAATTATGCAGCTTTATGTTCTTACAATCTCTTTCTTTTCCTTTATTTTGTGTTGTTTTTGGGAGGTGATATTTCAGTAGTGTTTTTTTTTTTTATTGATTTTTATTTTTTTGTTTGTCACCATTATTGAGATTCAAAGACTAATTGTTGATGTCTGGGTGTTTTTAAGTTTTGCCATAGATCAAACATTCTCATTGTAAATGGTGTTTTTAAACCTGTTATAATAAGGTCATTAATTGTTGGAGGTTCAGTGGTTTCATTTATGTATTTTATTTCTTTCTCACACATAACTAATATGATACTGAATTAAAAAACAAGAAGGAAAGATGGCTATGATATCATAAATAACCTCTTCAGTCTAAAGAGGCTTTTGGCTTTCCATACTATATGTATAAATAGTGTGATTAACACTAATAACTATAGCAGCCAAATTAAAAGACATTTCCAGCAATAAGTTGAAGAATCTGACTAAAGCAGACTCTGTCCTCCATCATGGTGACTTCAAATGAACAACAGAAATTTCATTAAGAGCTTTTGTTCACATGACAGAAATCAAGTCAAAGGTCAGTAATAGGTGAAGCTCCATGATAAGTTGTTTAATGTGATGAGTTTTTTTTTTTTTTTAAATATGTGGGAAAAATAACCTTTTTTATTGTGTACTTTGTTTTATTTTTATTGATTATTATTTTATTTAGAGTTTTTTTTTTTCTCAGTTGATTTCATCTTTGGTTTTGGCTTGTGTTTTTCTTTCCTTCAGTGATTCTGCTTGTTAACAGTTGTTCATCAATAATTCTCAAGCATCCTTTAATTAGACACTTAATTGTCTCATTAACTTCATTACTGTCTGAGTGTTCAGCCCTCTGTAGTGAGGACACTAGTTAGGATTTTGCTCTGGAATTTAAGGCTTAAGTGTGTTTGAATGAAAAATACAGACTATGGGATGTATTTTTAACAGAAATATTCTGGAAACGAATGTATTTACGAATGTAAAATGTTGAAAACAGCAGATTACTGGCAACCACTGCTGCCAGTATTTTGACATACATTTAACAGATATTTTACACAATAAGAGTTTGCTAATTAACACTCTCTGAGTGTTAAACATTTTAACACTTTCAAAAGTGTTATTTTAACACTTATAGTGGTTCCCATATAAACACTGAGGGAGTGTTAATTTTAACTCTAAGGTAGTTAAATCTACCAAATCTAAAATTTGCAGTGTGAGTTCGATAAAAAATACAGACTGTTGAATGTGCTTTTAACAGAAATATTCTGTAAACTGAATTTATGAATGTTCAAAAACAGCAGATTACTGGCAACCAGAGATGCTGGTATTTTTCCGTAAAATCTAAAAATGAAAAAAAAAAAAAAAGAAAAACAGCAAAACAGTTTTTGTGTCACCATTGTGGAGCATAATAGCGTCTCTGTTCCAGTCCAAGAGGAACTGAAAATATTTGATGTTATGCTGCATCTTCTTTTGTTTAAAGGTAACTGTGTAGTTACTAATGCAGTCAAAGTCAGTTCGCTAATTGCAATCACACATGCAAACGTTATTACATCTAAAGACTATACATTTTTGTGTATCAAGCTATGATTTTGTAAAATGAACAATGTATTAGTTCATGAAATATGGTTATTTTTTGTAAATTTATACAATTATATAAAACTTCCATGTTTTTCACAGAAAGATTCTGGCAACCACAGCTGCTGGTATTTTATCGGAAATTTAACAGATATTTTACACAATAAGAGTTTGCTAATTAACACTCTCTTGGTGTTGACAATGTTAACACTTTCAAAAATGTTATTTTTAACACTTACAGTGGTTCCCATATAAACTCTGAGGGAGTGTTAATTTTAACTCCAAGGTAGTTAAATCTACTATCTAAAATTTGCAGTGTATGCATGCAACAAAAATTACTTTCTTACCAAGAATTTCTTTAATATTTTATTTATTCATTTTCTTGTCGGCTTAGTCCCTTTATTAATCCGGGGTCGCCACAGCGGAATGAACCGCCAACTTATCCAGCAAGTTTTTACGCAGCGGATGCCCTTCCAGCCGCAACCCATCTCTGGGAAACATCCACACACACACACACACACACACACACACACACACACACACACGCACACACACACACACACACTTATATATACACTACGGACAATTTAGCCTACCCAATTCACCTGTACCGCATGTCTTTGGACTGTGGGGGAAACCGGAGCATCCAGAGGAAACCCACGCAAAGGCAGGGAGAACATGCAAACTCCACACAGAAACGGCAACTGAGCCGAGGTTCAAACCAGCGAACTTCTTGCTGTGAGGCGACAGCACTACCTGAGCCACTGCCTCGCCTCTTTAATATTTTAAGTACAATTAAAAAAGATTACATAAAGAAAGAATTTCTTTATAAGAAAATGATGTCAGATATGTACTGTAGTTTGGATTATTTTTTATTGGTAATATAAATAATGTTAATGCAAATAGAAAACAACATTATTTGGTGTTAACTGTTGTTTAGTAACAGTGATAAGAACCAAACTTGAATTGACTGATTGAGATTGCAGGCATCTCTTTGACGGGTGCTGTTGCCATAGTGAAAAATTCTGGAGCTCCACTTGCTTGTCATGGTGCATACATTTAACTTAGTCAACTCACGGACAACTTAATTTAGCTGATCTCAAACAGAGTACTTAGAGTTCCCCATTTCAGAAAAAAGTCAACTCAGGATTTAAGTCAGAGTTGGATGAACCTCCTTATTGAAATGGCCCCAGATCTAACCCAGATCCAAAGTTTGTCAACTCTGAATCTACTCTACAATTAAAAGTTTGTTCAGCTAGTTTCACAGAACAAGCCAGAGATTCAAAAGTGCTAAAAAGGGGCAAATACGGTCACCATGAAAAGTGTTTGTCACTTTAAGACAACAACTTTGAACACACTGCAAAACATAACTCTTTCATGTAATATATTAATTGTATATTTATTGATATATATTGATATTAAAATTTATTGATATATGATATACTTGATTGTAATGAATATAACTTTCAACGTGCACAGAGAATAAAGGTGAGCTGCCATTATTCTGTAAAATTGCCAACATTCTTGTATTGAATAAAAATGATTATTTTTTGGTTAAAAAAATTGTTACAGTGCTCTTAAATGTGCATTGTGATGCTTTCAGACTCTTGGAAATGAGTTTAATGCTGTTGTGAAAGCTGATGATCATAAACCGTAAAATTTATAACATTCAAAATGCATATGGAGTATGCATAAATGTGAATGCATATGTTTTTTATGCCTTTTCTCTATTTTAGGAAGTGTTAATTATTTTTTAAAAACAAAATATTTCTGTATGACTACAAGGGTTAACAATTTACATGTTAACACATAAAAATGCATTCAGTGATTAATTAAAAATGAAATGTGGAACTGTATTGTTTTGTATAAGTTTATTATGTGACTAATTATCTCAGAATCAACAAAAATAAAGTCTTAATGTTTTTTAATGCATGATTAGAACAGTGTGTATTGCATTTATAAAGTATGTGAATAAATACTGATAAAACAAGAAAAAAAAAATTAACTCCTGAGCCAGTGGTAACTTGATAACATATTTAAAAATGTTAATTTAACTTTGGCCAGTGTGGAATAAATATACACCTGTTCAAATTAACTCGACAGACAGACAGACATATAGAGAATCATACAGACATATAGGCAGACAGATGAACAGATTCATTGCACAAAATATTAGTGGAAATAAATCTTTTGATGTTTAAATGTTCCTCATTTTAGGACTGATCACAGAAACATTCTTTATAGGGAACAAAGAATGTTTTTTATATATTGATGTAAACATAGTTTCAATTAATGGGTCTTCAGCTTGCATCAATAGCAGAACTCCTTTTTGTGCTATATAGAAAGTCTGTCTTTCTGTCAGGGTCATACATCTTTCAGGCTCTGTTAAGG